GGGGGGGGCGCAAGGAAAACAAATAAACCAACCAGACAGAAAAACCCAAACAAAACCCACCAAACCAGAGAAACTCATGCTTTAAAGATAAATTTCTGTCTAAAGTGGTGTTCTTCGTACTGCATCCAGCTTGGAGATACCCTGGTCATTGATAGGGATTTCCAGGTGCTAGCTGCAGTATAAAAAGTAAGAATATGTTTTTGTGAGTCATCTGAAGTTGCAGGAGACTTTAATTATTTTTGTATAATCTGTCCAGTTGCTGAAAGTTAAGAAAAGTGTTTTCACAGCTATGTTGTATTTATACTTCCTTCTTAATGTCTCTTCTCTAGAGGTGTGACTGTAGTGTGTCTTAACTGTGATTTCCTGACTGATGTTTCTGGCTTAGACAGCATGGCCACACATCTGAGTGAAAGCCACTCTCATACTTGTCAAGTTGTTATAGAGAAAGGTGAGTACATACAATGTCTTATTTATGTAGTGTATGTATATATATAAATACTTGCGTGTGGATGTCTGTGTTATTGCAAACCTCTTTTTGGTTGCATTATCATTATTTCTGTGTACTTTGATTTGAAAGTGAGTACTTCTGTATTTCTACGTTTTCAAATATTTTTAATGATGTCCTTTATTTTTATTTTCAGTTTCTGTAGATATCCCAACTGCTGAACAAGTATCTGAGTAAGTTTTGTTTTACTGCTCAATGTTTCTATTAACTTAGTGACAGATGGCCAAAATTTGCCCTTTGAACTTGGGTTTCCTTTGAATTTCATAGAATTTGAAATGTATGGATGAATGTAGACGTAGACCCTTACTTTACTGGTGCTTTTTGCCCTTACCGTGTCCACAGTCACAAGAATGAGGAGAGAAAATGGTTACCTACTGCAGCCAAAATCAGAACCAGGTTTTTGTTCAGTTTGGCCAAAGAGGCATAAGTAATTCCTGCAGTATTAGAACTTCTCAATCATGACTTCTAAGTCTAGACATAGTGAAACTGCTACTTCAACTTGCTTTTAATACTAGCTTTATTAAATGAGTGGTTTATGTTCTTTATGTAATATTAATTATTAATGTTAATATTATTGACATTACACTTTTTAAGAGACCTTTACTAAAGTAGGACAAATTCAGTCTTTAATCTTTGATAAATATTTAGAAATTATTTTCAAAACAATGTTATTTATATGACAAAGGTATACTGTTTTGTATTAAATTTTAATTCTGGCTTTCAAAGAAAAATTAATACTGGGATTTTGGCTTTCAGGTTTTTTTAAGGGTTTGAAAAAGAGCCTGCAGTATTGCAGAGATTGTGATGCAGGGTTTGCCTGGGGGTATTTTTAGCCTTAGAAGAATGAGACGTGCTAAACTATCTCTGATTGTCCTGGAACAGTACCTGAGGCTTTACAGTGTGAGCTCACTTGTGAGCCCACTTACGCCTTAATGGAAGATTCAGGGGTGTGCCAGTTGAATCAAACATTCGAGTTCTCTCTAAACCATTTCAGAACACGGGAATAAAAATGTCAAATAGACTGTAAAGAAAGGTATTTTAAAAGATGGAAGAAAATAGTTTAACACTGATTTAACAACAAGGTGTCACTGAGTCCTAGCCTACAGCAGGATTCTAAAAGGCGGTAGATACTCATGTGCAGTGAGAACTCTTGCGACAACACAAGAAGTTCTTGGGCCTCTAAGCATAAATCAGCCTTCACTGAGTTTTGGAAACATCCCCAATAGCTTATTTCATATCTATTAAGTATTTTCTTTCTTAGTTTCTATGAAGTGGCCATTAAGAGAGGGAGTATTGGACTAATCTGTCATCTCGCCCAAACATAGAAATACTGTCTTTGGCAAAGAGTATTAGTGGAGCAAAGTATGTGCTATAAACTTCAAACTTTCAGCTAGTAACTGTTGAGCATGTGATACAGCTGAGTAAAACTGGTGGTCTGATAAGATGACCGATAGACATTATTTAAAAGAACTTAAGATACTCTGGCAGGAATGAATAGGGGAAGGCAGTTATTTTGGGAAAGCATTCCAGAAAACCCTTTAAGAAATGAAATTTCTGATTTTGGAGCACAGAATATTGAAATTGGACAAAATACTGGAAAGAGTCAACTAGGAGAGTGAGCTCTGTTCTCTTCATTAATCCAGGGTGGCTTGTGTCCTTTAACAATTTAGATTTCAGTCAAACTCAAACAATGGAAAACCAGTGTTGAGCTGTGATACTTGTGACAACCTTAGCTTTTCTTTTTGGAGCTAGCATTAGATGGGAATTAATACTTGCTGAACTATATGTAAGGAAAGGTTATAGCTGTATTGAATGCTGGAGAAAGAGGTACAGTTGTGACAGGCTGTTGTCAGTACTGCACAAGGACCTCGCTGTCTTGAATATATTATGGAGATGTCACATGAGAAGATTTAAGAATGTTGGATATACAAAGTATGTATTACTTAAAAAACAGATGGGTGAGCACTGAAAAGATTTGAAGGGGGAGTCAAGAATATGTGCAGGTTTGTTTCTGTGAGCTGTTAGATTAGGACAGATTCCGACAGCCATTATTTTTGAGAGCTCCGATGTTGCCATGAGATTAGTTACTGGTGCTGCATGAGGTGACATAATCTGTGGTGGTGCTTTTTGAAACTGTCATGCTCACAGACTTCATTACTTTCAGTAAATCTTGTCCTATTCCATATACTAATTCTCTGATACTTTGGACAAGAATATATCATTGCTAAACCTAAGAGCATGAGTATACCTGTGTGGCAGATTTTTTTAATTCATTATTTGCAGTACAGAGTACACACAAAAATGTTCATCTTTTTGTGGGATGGTTCTGCATAGTATTCTGTGGTTTGCTTTGGAAGAGGAGGAACTTGCAGACAATATTCATAACTTTTGCTGTGTGGTTTCTCAGTGATCTATGAATGTTCCTTTCCATTCTTTGACCTGTAATTCAAGTGAGGTATGACTTGTTTATGGGGCTCTTCAGAATCCCTTCATCACTGGAAACAATTACTCACAATTACTATCTTGAACACTTTTGGATCTTCTCTTGCATCTCTTAGATGGTATCTTTTGGTATCTTTTATTATATATTACTGTCTGTAAGTGCTGTAAAACTCATCTTTATTGCTAATGACCAGACATGTTCCATGAGCTCCGCTTAGTGTTGATGAGACTGTCTTTGGACTAGAATCCTGCCATTAGTAATACAGATAACCTAGCTGGAGATGTTCCAGCAGAAACTGCTTTTAAAATTGTTACTCTACATAAAGTCACCTTGTTTGTTTAGTGACCCACCTTGTGCAGAGGGAATAAGGCTTAATAACTATGCCAGTACTCTTCTAATGCTCAACTCTCTGCTTTGCGCAACAATTAACATATTTTTAAATGAACTGACAGCAGACATTTTTGTTGCAGGGGAGTTGAAAGTGAGCAGGTATCCTATACTGCCTTGGCTCACTGATACATCATTGTGGACCAGAAAATTGAACCCAGTCCAGCTTGGGATTATTTTGGTATGTAAGCGAACAAGGATCTGACCAGACCTTTTCCTTTTTCTTCATGCATTGAAGCTGTGGTATTCTCTTCTTGCATCTTTTAGGCAGCAGGTCTGGTCTTTTCTCCCAGTATTGTAGTCTGGCAAAGGCCCTCCTGTGATAACGTTCTCTGCTTTGCAGCATTGACTTGCAGCTTTTTGGGGGCTATATGCCTTTGAAGAGAGGCTTACCAGGAGTTTCACTTATGTGATGCAGTGTTTCTTTGCTGCTCATTTGCAGTGTTTCTTTGCTGCTCAAACCTCTCGGGGTCATCCCAAGCTAGAGTAGTGTGTAAATTATGGTGTATGTGTGTTGACATCAAAGCCCATTTTGTTCTGAACTTGATCCTGGCTTCTGAAACTAAAGGGCTTTGTCATTCTCTCTGGGTGTTCACTAAAGCATACAAGACCTGATCTATTTAATATTCAAGTAAGTTGCATTTTTGTCTGCCAATAACTTTACAGTATATAGTGGCAAAGTATGATTTGAATGTCTTCTGTCTCATGTAACTGCAAAAACTGAATCTTGGCCGAGGGAACCGATTAGCTGCTTTGCTCTGGTAGCTAAGCTTCTTTTTGCTCCTAAATACTGTAGGAGGAAAGCACGTGATGGAAGCAGATACGTTTATTGAGCCTTGATTCTGAGGGTGGAGCAGCTACAGTTCATTCACACCTTGTTCTTTTGGTATCATCTCTCATCTTCAAGGGTGCTCTCCTCAAGCTGCTGAGACATCTGCTGCTTTTGATTTCACTACTTCTGACTTCATCTTTAGTTCTAGATGATCTATGGCAAGTTTATCCATCAACAGGTTGTCTGGATATATGATGAGCTTTCCTTTTGTCATCTAGTGTTCCTCCAAACTCAACCTCCTGCTTACAGTGGTGGATATGTGTCTTGGTTGAATCTCTCATTTACCAGCTTCCAAGCAACCTAATAGATAGAGCTAATCTTACCCTGCGATCAGTCACTGTTATAACCTAGTCATAAGAGATTATTTTTGATGAATGCAAGCTGTTTCTTGATTTGCAGCTCTTTCTTTTTCTGCATAATCAAACTCTCTGAGATTAATCCATTTGTACTGGTATTTTTGTCCTCTTCACTTTCAGTATTCAAACAGTAATGGTTTTGGTGATAGTGAGCTTCTGCAGCCACTGTGGTATTGCTAATAATGGCAAGGATCCTGTCATCCATTGTCTCTTATTTTGTGATTGAGCATCTGCACGCTTACTCCGTACTCTAAAGTCTCGTTCTTTTTGCTACATTTTTTTTTCTTCTGACAGAAGCCATGTTCCATCTTGAATGCTGCTGTTCAACTTCAACCATCAGTTACCTACTACAGGTTTTTCTTGCAGGACTTACTTCTGTTTTGACACAGCAGCATTCAAACCAGCATAGTGGGTTTGTGTTTACGTTGTGAACATGCTGTTGCATTTCAGAGGAAGTTGGATCTGTGATTATTTCACTTTCATTCAGGTTTCCAGCAACAACAAAACTGGAATATGATTGCAGATTTTCATGGTTTTTGGAAATGTTCTCTAAGAATTTCCCAGACACTACGCTAGATTAACACTTCAATTTGAAGTTATATGAATTATACCTCTTTTGAATGCTCATTTGGAATATTATCATTTGGTTCTTTTACAGCTTTGCTACAGAAATTTTTTAAGTTTCAGGCATGCAGTCAAAACACTTGTAAGCTACATACAGATTTGCCAGCTTTGTATAAATAGTTCATGTAGAAACAATTGACATCATGGCATCCTGTTTCCATTTGTGTGAGGATCTCAGAAATGTTACTTATGCGGAAAACTCATAACATAGGAACCAGTACCAAACCGTGCAGATAAACCTGCCTGACTCAATATTAAATATCCCTGATGGTCCCAACAGCTACAACATTACATGAGTATTGCAGCATGTTGGACCACAACTGCAATGACAGAGCATGACTATGCATGGTGTGACCAGTTTAGCTTATGGTCGAAGAATGAAGATTTCATTTGTATGTTAACTTGTCTCTTTTTTGTTATTTTTAGGACATTGAGTGTCACTGCATTATGGGTTCTTAAAAGGCGTGCAGTCGCAGAGCAACATTGCTTGATTAGCAAATTCTATATTACCTTTGTTTTGGAAGTTGTTCTGACAAGAAAACAAATGTTTGTTTCTGCTATTCTGCTAAGCATTTGTAACGGTGCAGCTTTGTGTGTAATAACACTTCTCTACTCATGATCAATGGTAGTAAGTTGTTATATAGCTGTCTTCATTGCTAACCCCACTTTACAGGTGAGAAACAGGAGACAGTGTCAACTAACATGAACATCACCATCTTTCCTTTCCCATTCAGTTGTTAACAGTGTAAAACACCATGCTGTAGAGGCGGCGTTTCTCCTCTCTATTAACATACACCTTCCCAATAAATGCTCATACAATCAGACATTTGGGGGAGAATTGTGCTGTATGAAACATTAGCTCTACTTAGAGTTATATCTTTTGAAATAGGGAATTTCTGCTAAAAGCTGGAGTTCTTTAAAAAATAAATGCCTTTCTAGTCTTTTGGTCGTAAAAGAGATCTGTATATTGCTGGGTATGGTTCAGCGGAGTGGCTGGAAGGTACGTACCTTTAGCCACTTAAAGCTGTTTCCTAGAAATGCTTGAAGCTACAGTCATCCTAGGAAAGGTTACTTTTGGTTGGGGGCAGACAAAAAAGGGATGTTCGGCAAAAGATTCCAGCTAAGTTTCAGTACTGCTTACCCAAAGAAGTTGTGGGGGTAACTCTTTGGTTGTAAGAAAGCATGATAGATTGCTGGAAAGACGGCTGCTCGTGCTTTGGGCTCTGTGTGTGTGGGTAGAATATACATAACCTGATTATGCGAGAGCAGGGGAACCAGTGAGACTGTATGAATTTCAGAAATGAGAATACTCCTGTACTTGGACTGTGCATTTTAGAGTCTACTTGTTTTACTGACTCCAAATCTCTTCTGTTAGTCATAGGTGACTCCTCATGTATCAAATAAAGTTTCAGATCATCTGAATTTAGACTCTAAATTAATGTTTGCAGTTAATGTGGCTTTTATTCTGAGTCTCTTTGGTTTTATGGCCAATCCATTCTATTGAGTATCTCAAGGTGAAATTTTGTGCTCAGCAGCTACATTTTGGGGGTATTTGTTTTAAGGGATGTTTTCTTGTGGTTAACTAGAAGTTTATTTTTAGGTAGAATAAAGAATCTTTGAAGAGTTCTAGAGAGGTTTCAAAACTGCTCGCAATTGTGTACCAGCAGGCTGTACTTACTGGAGATGGTCACGATCTTTGTTCTATTTTCGTAATGTTCTTCCCAGAACCAGCGTAGCCCTACAGATGTAAGAAAGTCCATTGCCTTTGTTGCTGTTTGAAAACTATGAGATTTAAGGTTTCTTATATCCTAAAAGTGTTGGGAACATCACAAGGTGATAGTTTTCTGTGGCTTAGTATCCACTTACGAAACTTCAGCTAATTACAAATTAGAAGGAACTACCTTCTAAAACCTAATCCTAAACAGAATTAAGGTTGAGAATGTACATCAGGAATCCAGGGTAAGCCATATTAACAAAGATGTGGTTATCACAGAATGTTATACACCGTGTTCCCTTCCAAAACAGCCTAAGTTAGCCAGTTTGAATCTGTTTTATAAGCTATAAAACATCACCAACAACAGACATCTATCCAAATTTGATCATGTAGAATAATGTTTATAATGTGTTTAAAACAATCTACAGATATTGGATCCAATTATACCCATTTATTTCAGTGGCAAAACTTACACGTACTCAGACAAGAACAGTATGTTTTGTCCCTGGATATATGGTATCTGATTCATTTGTCTAAATTATTGTGCTCTTTAAAGAGTGACTGGTTTTAGAGAAATAACTATTTACAATGTATTTGTTTAAGTTCTTGCATAAAAATCACTAAAGCATTGAAGCTGAGCTAAATATTTGGTGTTACAACATCTTTTACTGGTGTTGCTACTCATGATTTAATACTTCATAGTATTTCAAGTCCCTGGCCCAAAAAAGTTGTTGTCATTTGATTTACCCCTAGTTTTTTTTCCTAGTATTGGTTAGATGAGTACTGTTAAGGTGCTATCATAGAAATGTTATTTTTTTAAAAATATTTTTTTGTAGTTATTTTGCCATCTTTTATTGCAAATCAAAATGTAATTAAAATAGCTATAAATGGTTGTTTATAATACAGTCCAAGTCGTTGGTTAGCTACTAGAACATTAGTGCTGGAAGGTGTTTATGGTGTGCTGAAAGTATATGCTGAAACTCTTTAAAAGGTCTGGTATTAGCACTGCTTTCTTAAATTAGGAAAATACATGTAGTAGATGCCAATCGAATAGAAGTATATATTTTTCATAAAATTTAAGTTGGTAAAGCTGTTTCTACTGTCAAGTATTTTGTACCTTGCAGACAAACATTAAGACTCGCTGAGGTAGTGGATCATTTAAATTATGATTAATAACACCATTTCAGTGTAACAGAGGCAGCACCATACTTCAGCAGATTAAATTTGCCTTTAATGCAGCATCAACAAAGAAGATTCAGACATAAGCAATTTTGAGGGTTTTGTTCAGCTTTTATTTTTTCATAGGAAACCTTCGAAAGGTTAGATTTTATATTAGAACTGATGACTTAACAAGGTTCTGTAGGAGACATACTTCTTGCTATCTCTGCAATAGCATTTTCTTAAATAAACACAGAAAATCAATTTTGGTGATGTTGTGATAAGCTGTTTAATTAATGTGGGGTTTAAAGCCAATAAATTTAAATAATTTATAGCTCATCTAATGTATGGACTGTGCCTGTGAATGTTTTTTGAGGGAAGTATCTCCTCCGAATAGTAGTTGGAGGTCAGCTACAACGCTTTACAGTTGCCCTAAAGTAAACTACAGCTATGCTCTGATATCTGGGTTATCGTAGGCAATTGAAAGCAAAGTGAGCTTGTTTTGCAGAATGTTTTTGTTGGGTCACAATGTGGCTTTATACTCTTAATTTAGCATTTCAGATCTTAAATACTTCAGTCATGGTTTAAAGGGGCTTTATGGTGAGGAGATGATTCCTCATGTAGAATTGCAGTAAGCAGTAGAATAAAAGCATTGCTAAACGTCTTAACTGTTGTTTTCATGAGGTGAGCTAACTGGAGCAGGTTACAGGAAACAAGTGTATCTTCCAATTTCTGTATACCAAATAAAACATTTTAAAATTCTGAAATGCTCTTCTGGAACTCTGAAGTACATTTAAGCTCAAAATAAGTATCAACTTTTAAAAATTTGTTTCAGATTACCAAGTTGCTTTCTTACTGTAAGTATCTTCATCCTTATCTCTATTTTAACCACACAGTATTTTAAAACATTGAATCTTAATTCATTATTCACTAGGTTAAAGACCGAAATCTCCATTAGAGAGAGAGAAGCTAAGTTGGAGGTAATGTCTTTTCTTTTCTCCACACAGTCTAACAATATCTCTGAACTTCATAACTAGCCTGAAGATCCAAGACAATTCTTTTTAAAATATACATGTGCTATTGGGTCATGTTGTTCAGAAGATATGCATAGTGCTTTCTGTGTTTTACTACAGAAAGATATGGCAGTGTTGGAAGGACACCTTTAGTGTGTCTGCCACACCCAAAGATTTCCAGTTTGCAGTCAGTCCCTTCTGGTTGGTTTGTGTGCCAGGCTCCAGTGAAGGAATGGTTTAGTTGCCTTATGTTATCTTCATCTTAAGGGAACCTGGAAATGGACCTGAAGTACAACCCGAGTACTGACTCTGAAGCATAACTTTTTGAGGGGTTTTTTTTATTTGTACTTCTTCAAAGAGGAAAATATTTGGAAAGGCTTCTTCAGGCCTGGATTTTTTTTTTTTTCCTAGGCATGTGTACAAATTTTGCTCTGCTTTCTGCCTATCAGGAAGCTAAATGATCTCACAGTGCATCACTTAATTTTTTTCAAAAATACAATCTCTGGATTCTGTAAGAAGTTGTCTTTCTGTTGTCCTTCAGAAAGGGTGATCTGTACAGAAATCCCAGCTGGTAAGAGAGTGGGAGAAGTTCTCAGACCTAGCAAAGATTTTTTTTTTTTTTCTTGTGACACTGCCTGCTTCCCAAATTGCAAAAAGCTTGGTGAGGTTTTTTTAGCAGAAGCGATGATTTAATAGAAATGGGGGAAGACTGTTCATTCAACAGCATTAAGCAAGAGTCTCAAATGTAGACAGCAGCACCTTTTCTTTGCATACCATTTTTCTTTCCATTACCACTTCAGGTGTGTGTGCTCTTTTTTTTTTTTTTCATCCCATATTGTGTTTCAGCATTATAGATGTTGAATTTGCAGGTTTTGCTCCACAGAATTGTGTTCCAATACTGGCTTTCATTTAAAAATAAAACAAAAAATGCAACATCCCCCCCCAAACAAAATCAAAACAAACCAACCCACACACCCTAGCCCTTATGGTTGGAGAAGGTGGAGAATACAGACAGAATAGGCTACTTGGGTGTCAGCTGTCTGAGCTTACAGGACATGGGAACCAAGATCTTTCAGAGCAGTGAGCTGCTGTTCCGTGGGCTCTGGGCCCTGTGGAACCTCTCTTTGTTTTCTCTAAGTTGCCATGGAATGTCTGGTGTTTTGTTGCAGCCAGATGCTTGATGTTTTGGCTGTTTGTTGAAATGCACAGCAGGAGGTCAAAGGACAAACCTAGGGTGCTGAAGAACCCAAAATATTAATTGATGGATCAGGTTGTTTAAAAACATTTAAAATTCAGAGAGATTAGTCAAGGAATTGTCCTTTCTGGTAGTTCCCCGGGGGGGGAATATGGTCAGCCGGGGCAGAGGAGGCCGGTGGATAGGGAAGGAGATCCTGTAGTAGGAAGTAGAGTGCAGTAATTTTAAATGAGAAATTGTTTCTTAGCATGAGTCATATGTGTAAGGGTTTTGTATGACAGAAATGCAATAACGTGTGGTACAAGTATAGCAAAGGGTATTGTAGACAGTAGAATAAGCTTATCTTGACCATACAGATTTAAAATATTTGCTACGTAATTTGGCCTCATTGAAACAAAATATACCACCTCTGGGGGCGAAAAAACCCATACTAAAAGTATGAAACATTGTCTACACAGTTTTAACTATTTAAGAGTTTGTGGTACAAATAGTCTTTTAAAATGTCTGTCCTTGTCTGTATACAGTGATGTTTTCTACTTTAAAACCAGAAATAACTTACAGTTGTATTCAGACAGAAAAAAAGGTTTGATTTCTTAATTTTGTCACTTAAGTATTTACAGTTTCCTAAATGAGAATAAGATTAGATGGGCAATATGCCCTGTAGCATAGGACAGGCTTATAGAAAACTGGTATCCAAATGGCAGTTTTCAGTCACTTGCTTTTCTACTGTTCTAAAAAGGGAGGGGGGGAATTGCCTTTGTTCATGTTGTTTAGCGTTAAAAAGTTATTTCATTGGGTAAGTTTTAAGAGACTCAAAAGTTTCTTCGGTGACAAGCATTTTGTTAAGAATCTTCCTTACACATAAATAGCATGTGTAGGGCTAAAACGTTGTGTGATGCTTAAAAAGATACACTAACCTCAACTTTGTCTTCCTTGCTTTTCCATTGGGTCTTTTTGCCTTTTTTTTGGCTATCAAAACAGAAGTTTAGTTCAGATTTTTTTCCCCTCCAAATAAAAAAAGCTGTCCAGGTTGTTTGCATCTTGTTCAGTAAGGCATAATTGAAATTACATCTATGAAAAAGGCTCCAAGAATGACTTTTAAACTTTTGCTTTGGTTTTGGTTGGTTTTTTTTAAATGTGGAAGACTATTTGCAAACATCTGTAGTAAGATTGGTGCTCAGTCTCTTCTACGTAGCATCTTTATGGGAATGTAGTGTGAAGTTATTTCTACACTTTATATTGTAATCAATTGCTCATGAATGTAAAATAAAAGAAGTATCATTAATTATTACAGAAAATTTCAAGACCTAGTTTATCTGAAGGAAAAACAGAAACACCAACTTTTGAAAGGTAAATACAATGATCAGCTGCATCTTGAAATCAGGTACATAAAATAACACATGCTGTGTTATTTCTCGGGTAATTGGGCAAAAGTATTTAACAAGTATTTTCATAATGTGTGTTTTCTGTGACAAAGTTCTGAATGGCAGTCTAACGAACTTATTCAACAAGACATGTAGAATTTAGGTTCCAACTGTCAAAAAACATTCTTAGTAATGCCTAAACTGCAAATCAATCAATATTCATAAGACAATAAATAAATTGCACAGTTTGTTAAAATAAGCATTTTTTAATAATATTGCATATGAGTTAACAATAACTGGGAAACAGTTTTAAAATACAGTTTAAAATGGTAGTTCTTGGATATTCTTTTGGGTTTTTAAAAACCTGTCTCATTTGTGGAAAGCATACTCAACCAGATTCTTAGCAGAGCAAATATGTGAAATTGTTGGGTAACTAACAACTACAGCTCTACACTTAAATTCACAATTTTGCATATTTTTGTCAGTCTGAGGAAATAATTGAAATGCTACATATTTCTTTTGGTGCATATTGTGGACAAATTTATACTTTATACAATTGATCTGAATTATTACTCCAGATCCCACAGCCTGAAATGTCTTATTCCAGTTACTGATCTGTCACAATTGGTACATATTTTACCTTTAAAAGCGTAGTCAAAACATTGTAGTTATTTTTTGCATATGCCTTTCTAGTGCCTTTAAAAAGGAAAATAAAGCAGACTGCTTTCAGTGTCTCTTGTAGTTACTTTTCTTAGAAAAGTTCTGCTTTATCTCTCTTCTAGTCATATGCAGTGTGGGCCAGATAATTTGAAATTTTATTTTCTCTTAAAATGCTTGCTTAAGAATTGAGACCAAATGATTCGGGTATTAGGAGCTAACTCGTGTGTTTAACGTATGGATTAGTAAACATTGTAATTCTGAGTATGATGTACTACTTTCTCCCATCCTTGGGTTTAAGTAGACAAAAATAATTTCAATATATAAATCTGTTCTGTTTTCTGTTAAAACTTTGATGCTATTTTACTGGCTTTAAGACAGACGTCTTAGACACATTTGAATCTCTAGCACCAGAGATTCTCAGTCCTCACTTTGCTGTTATTAAGCCAAGGTAGTTATGTTGATGTGTAGCAAGTAACTAATGCTGCAGGAGCAGTTGGTTCTGAGAATCCTGCACCTTCTCTGCACTGTGCCTGGGATGTTACCGTAAATTCGGTCCCAAAAGAACCCCCTAAGACCTGGTTTGAAGTTTCAGAAGGCAAGGCGTGCTTCACTGCAGCGCTGGATGCACGGGGCGGGGGGATCATTCCACTTCACATCAATGCTGAAAGACAAGGGCACACATTATATACAATTAAAAAAATGAATATTCATGTAATTTGAGAACTACACACCTATTTTCAGAGAGTCTAATGCATATGTTAATACACTGTTTGGGGAAGAGTCCCTGAGGGGTTTCCACAGGTGTCTGCTGGTTTATCTGCCCTGTCTGGAATGTCCCCATCACAGTTGCAAAAACTGCGTCCTTGGGCACGTTGTTGTCTGAGGCTCCTTACAGCAATTAGCACCAACTGCCCGCAGGCGTCAGGGAGGTGTTACCGGCGAGCAGAGTTGTGTTCCACCACAGAGTGCCCATTCTGAGCACAGTCAGAGCTGATTTGGGGCTCCTAGCACCCAGCTCAAGAGTCGGAGCACTTTGTGGATCAGAGCTTCCAGTTCAGTAAATAGTTGGCATGCTCCAGGACTGCTCTGTAAACCACACCAGCATGTGGGAACAGTCGAGGAATGCGCCTCAAAACCGTGGTGGTGTTTCGCACCGAATTGTTAATGTAAATGCAGCTGCAATACAGGTTTTGTTACCTGGAAATACTTTCCACAAACTGAAGGTGTGTTTCCACATACTTTGCAACTACTCTGTATGCAGGTGTGTAAATGTCACTTGTTTATAATTCTGTTCTCAAGTTGTAGGATTTTTTTTCTTTCTTGCTGTAGAATTTTTCCCTAAATGATTTTTAAAATCTTATTTTAAAATGCCAATATAAAATAATAACATACTCTAAAGTTACGTGAATATGTGTAGCTAAGAGCAGCAAAAAACCTTGAGCTAGTAGGATTTTAAAACAACAAATACTCAGAGCCTACCTTTCCTTAGCCTCACTTGGCAGCCAAATCTTATGTTTTCTATACAGTGAGAAAAAGAAAAAAAAAAATCCCTTTACTTTATAGGCTTCTGGAGCTTGGGGTGAGTGTATGTTTCCACCTGGTAGACTCACCTCTTGGGTTCAGAATTAAGTTTTATGCTACTCCCTTGAGGCAGCCCTGTTCTAAAACCTGATTTCATACAGACGGTGTGGCAGCTAGTTCGTTAGCATAGCACATGTTTGATAGTCTAGCCACGGTTGTATCATGATTGAGGAAATGGGTTCATTGTTTTCATGAAACAAAAGTCAGATTTTACATTCTAACTGTTCGCTGGAATCCTCCGTTCTGTGTAATACAGTTGTTGTTATTCTCACATTTTCCAGTCTTTTTGATGTCAGAATTTTTAGTTTTCTTACACTGTAACCAGTTTTGTTTGCACAGAGTAGTAAGAGCATGTTTCATTCCTAATAGCAGACTGAAGGCTATTCTTTTTCAGCTACTGACTTTTACAGAATAAGTTCTTGACATCCTATACTATTTTCATTTTACTGCATTACACTTGCTAGGTTTTGCTTATTCATCTACAGTTCTCAGCAGAGGTAAATTATTTCTTTGGAGAACTGTTCTCTCTAAATGAACTTACTGTTCTGCTTAGCAATCTAAAAGATCACTGTTCTTTGTGGATAGTTGTTTTTGTGATGGTGGTTGTGCAAAAACTTGTTCAATTTTACTTTTATGCTCTGTTTTATTGGTATAAATGACTCATGGGAAGATGTGCTGATGAGAGACAGCTTTTTTCTGCATGAGAAATGAATGTATAGAGATATTGCTTTTCTTCCTCACTGTTTCCCCTCCCTCCCTTCCCGTGTCTTGCCAAAAATGAGTGAGAATTGAGAGGATAGGTTTGAATGAAGCTGGGATTTTGGTTACTAGAAGGTGACGGGGAGATTGTGATGGATTCTTTTTATATGTTAAGGACAGGTTTGTCCTTTGAAGAGTTTCTCAGTGTGAATATTGTGTGTGTGTACATATATGTAAACGATCTGGGATTTTCAGTGTAGAAACACTGCTTTGTGTGTGCTAACGAGGCATTAGTCATCCCTTTACATAAACCCTTTTTTTCTTTTTTTTTTTTTTTTTTTTTTTTT